TGCTGTGTTTTTGTTAAATGTTAATTTAATTTTTCTATTCATTTTCTGAAAAGTCCTGACAGATTGCAGTGGTGAATTGATTTCTTTTTTCTTTGTTTTCCAGACAGTATCGAAAACAATCAGTACTTTGCTACGCCTGAGCGGGACAGATGCGCTGATACACTGGATCTGTACTCGATTGTTGCTTCTTCCTCCTTCCGGACAGGCTCATTGTTTACCGGCTTACTGTGCTGTTCTTTCTACAGCCAGACCGCCACCTCTTGTTGAGGTTCATTATTTTACAGAACTACAAAATAGTCTTTTTAACGAGAGCGACTGACGGTCTTGCTCAAAAAAAAAGCACTAATCCTTGAAATTCAAAAGCCGTCCGCGGCAAATTTGCCATTTTCGAAACTCTTCAAATTTGTCCGGGGCGTCAATGGTGTTTATTAGCAAGCGTTAAATATGATTAAATGTTCCGGAAAGTTAATTTGATTAAATGTTCTGGTATTTGCTCATTCCGAGTTGTGCCGCACTTCTCGGTCAGTGCAGCAGCACGCTGCTCATTTATTATGTTAGAATGTTTCCCTTTGATGGACTGGAATGATGTTACCACACGCTCATCTGCGTTAGCGACCATCAGTCAAAGTCCAGCGTTTTCAATAGCAACAATAAGCTCAAAAGAATTACAGCAATAAAAATAACAGTAATAATAATGATAATAATAGCGAATAATGGCGACAATACTGTTTACTATTATCGTTATTATTATTTTACTATTATTGTTATATTGTTAATAATAATAGGCTGGAAAGCACCAAGTTTACCGGTGCGACCATACGTTTTTGCACTAAACATGAATTAGATTAGCTGCATGAATGGTTGCTGCTTCACACCTACCTTGTGAGTTCACTACCGTAAATCATAAATTTTACATAAGCGAAAATAAACAATTTCCGTTTAGCGGTTGTTCCTTAAAAATGACTTAGCTATTCAGTGAGCAGTTTTTCCGCCAAAAAATTTGAGTGCTCGTACAGGAGAACCACGCATACATGGAGGCTGAATTTGAAACCTTTAAGTTGTGTTTGGACAGGGAATATTCTCTTAAAATTTTAACTTTCCAGCTTTTCTGGTCCCCGAATTAGCAACTTTCCCGCTTCACGTGCTCGTATGTGAATACCACGTGTACTTGAGGACTGAATTCGAAATCTTTAAATTGTACGTGGACGGGAACATCCCCTTAAAATTTCATCCTTTCTGCTTTTCTGGTTACCGAATTATCAGTTTTCCCGCCAAAACTTCCACTTGCTCGTATTTGTGAACCACGAACACCTTGGGGCTGAATTTGAAATCTTTAGTTCACTGATTTATATTGAACATCCCTGCAAAATTTCAGTTCGATGGTTTTCGAGATCGCTTTCCCGCCAAAAAAACTGTATTTTTTAAGGCGTTCGTACTTGGACCCAGGCGTACGCGGTGATAATATTAAAACCGGAGGTCGCACATGGTGTGAGCACATACTCCCGAGGTTTCAGCCTTCTAGCTTTTCTGGTTCTAGAGTTGAAAGTGAGTGACAAAAAGTGCGAGCACACGAACACACAGATAGACAACTTCTTGCCAATATGCGTTTTTGCATTTGTATATATGCACTTGCATTTCTATATATGCAAAAACGCATAAAAATATTGAAAATGCATCATTGTCTCTGAGGCTGTAATTTAATGTTCCAGCTCGTGGCGTCAAAATCCCTACCGCAGCATTTGTGAATCGTGTAAACAGTGTTTAAATAGTGATAATGAAAGTAAACAGCAAACACTGCTAATAATTGCCAGAATTTAATTTGCTCACGTAGCAGACGATCTTCGCTCGTTATCAGTTTTACATGGTTCGACTTTGAAGTTAAATGATTTTTTATAGGCTCACATTCTGATTGCGCTAGCACGAGCGATCGTATCGGAGCGGTGTGCTGTTGTACTGGAGCATATGCCATTCATGTCCAGGGACTACCTCACTATCCTGGCACGGCCAGCCCTCAATTCACTTACGCAGCTTATCAAGCAGTCCAATTTCTCGCCAAGAAGTGTACAGGTTAAGTGTATTAACTCACCTTTTACCCATTTGTTTAATCTGATTGAATGCGCTACAGCGCTGACAAGCAATACGTTTGACTGTTAAGTCTACCACAGATTTGAAGAGCGGGAAGAAAATTTTCAGGTTGCTGCACTTCTGTCGCCCGACCATGCGTTAGGTGAAACGCTGCTATTGAATTTGCTGGCGTTAAACTCGGTGGAAATACCAATCCAGTCGTATGCATTGGCGTTACACGCA